CCCCTCCAAAAAGGGGGTGCCAGAAATGCTTGTCCTTGGACAGGATGAGCCTGGGGGGGATCCGGTCTCCCCAGCTGGATCTATACTTGATCCCTCATTTCTCTGGGGTGGAAACAGACAGAAGGACAAGGACCATCTTCCACCGGTATCTTCTTAGGATCCACCTGCCTTCTGGGGGGCAGACCTATTATTCCCTTCCTCCCCCACAGAGAGTGGGGGGCTCCAACAAGGCCAGGCTCTCCGTCTTTCCTGGGGGAGAGCTGGGGGAGGGGAGATTTTGGTCTGTTCTTTATCTCATTTTATATCACTCCTGTGATATACTGTATTTTTCTTTACCTTAAAAATATTTTTAGTAACTGTCATCTGCACAGAGAACGTCACTTATAGGGCAAGGATAACTTTATATTAATTAATTAAGCAACAAAAATATTTTTAAGTATTTTAAAAAGTGTGGAAGTGGCCTTTCCCCTGGGAGGGACCCCCCTTCTCCCCCTCCTGCTCCTGGGGAGGAATATGGGGCAGGAGGAGCCACCCGACCCATCACTCACCTTCGCTCTCATTAAAGCACATCCTCAGATCCTCCACGTAGGCTCTCAGCGCCTCCTCATTGACACGCGCCACCTTGGTCTGAGTGTCCCAAAACTGGGGGTCCTCCTTCTCCATCCAGGAGACTCGAGGCTGCACCTTCCTGCTGCTGCTGTTGTAATAACTGAAGAGTTGATCGTCCACGTACCCCGGAATGATGAAAGGGGGCAGCCCCTGACTGGGGTCTGACACGGCAGTGAGGGAATACTTGAGGGAGTGCGAGGAGGAGCCTGGAAGGGACCCAGAGGGCAGAGTTAGGGGACTTCAGCTGAGAGACCCTGATCCTATGGGGCACAGCAGGCCCTGAGTTGAAGATCTGGGGAGGAAGGAGGAGGAGGAAGAGACCTCAAGGAGGTTGGAGGGCAGAGGAAAAAGTCGGGAAGGAAGGGGGAGAAGATGGAAGAGGGACAGGAGGCCGAGGGTGCAAAGAGGGAGCGACTGAGAGGCAAAGAAGCAGCTTCTGGAGGGCCTGAAGGGTTGGAGGGGAGAGAAGTTGGGGGGTGAGAGAGCAAGGGAAGGGAAAGCAGGGCCAAAGGGACAGCAGGACCCCCAAACCCTATTTTCCCCCCAAATTGTTCCCTCCCCCCTTCCAGCAAGGCCTCCCTGAAACACTCTTCTGGATTGCAGACTCTGCCTCAAGGAGGCTGCATTTGCCCCACCGGGAGAAGGTGGGGCTCTACCCCCAGAAGCTCAAAAGCAGCAGGAGATCCCACCTGTTCACCCCAACTTTCCATTCACAGAAAAAACCCATTCTCATCTCACGAGAGCCAAAATGGATTGCTAATAGGTGCGAATTTTAGGGGAGATTTTATAAAATGGGGGAGGGAAAGGGGGGAAGGAGGGATCTGGATGAGGCCAGAGGCCATGGGACCCTTGGGGGCAAAGCCAAAGTGCCTGCCAGGGAGATGTGGGCAGTCAAAGGGGGGAGCGAAGGGGGCAGGAATGACGCCACGCAGCCCCCATGGATCTTCCTGCTCGGCCCCTGGCTGGGAGATTCCCCCTCCGGTCCCAGAGTTAAGGCATCTGAGCAGGAATTGGCTTTGAACCCAGGACCAAATGGGGCTCACCATCATTCCACAGAAATTCTCACTGCTGATTATCCCAAGATTTCTTAAGTTCAGCAGCACAATTAGGGCACCGAAACCGTTCTTCCCAGGTGCTTGCAACATACCAGATTTACTCTAGATCTAAAACACTTTGTTCACTTTCTACAGAACATCTTCAGGAAGTTCTCCTCCTTTTGGACTGATCCTGCACTTTTCTCCAGCAGCACTTTGGAAATCACCCTCCACGAGCAGAATCACAGCATCCGCGAGTGGAAAAGAGCCACGGAGGTCATCTAGTCCACCCCTGCCCAGTGCAGGGACCCCAATGAAAGCCTCTTTCCTCCCAAGATGGCTCCAGCCTCTGCTCCAGCCTCTCCAGGGAAGGGGAGCCCCCAACTCTCCGGATGATGGGTTCCCCAGTCAAACTGCTCTTAGTGAAACATTCAACCAGAACCTGCATCCCTCTCTCTTAAATGAATTATGAATTATTGGATTGGATTTTTCTAATCCAATTCAAAGGAAACCTTGTTATGGCCAAGATCAGCACAGAATAATAATACCACCAAAAAAAGGAAGTAATGTGATGAAGGGCAACATACAAAACCAACATCATAGAATCAGGTCTACCACAATACATACAATAACCCAATGATTCTCAACCTTTTTGAAGCTGCCGCCCCCCCTAAGGAGCGGAAAATTTTTCAACGCCACCCTTTGTGAAAATCCTGTAATTTAGGGTATGGGGAGGGAAGGGGGGAGTTACTGAATTATAAAAG